GTACCTCTATGATAGATCACAAAGGGTATTGTTTAAAAATACTATCTCTGACGTCATTGATGTTACTTCAGGAGTCCCTCAGGGTAGCCACCTAGGCCCGATTCTGTTCTTCCTTTTTATAAACGATATTTCTACAGATGATGCAGATGATGTAAAACTTTATAAATCGTACGTTTCAATTGAAGAAAGGTCTTTGCTACAATCAGACTTAAACAGCATGGCTTACTGGTGTAAAGTAAATCTTATGCCTCTAAATCTTAAGAAATGTAAAGTAATGTGCTTCTCGCGAAGAGCTGTTCTGCCAGTTTCTTATATAATAGGTAACCATAACCTGGAACAGGTATACAATTTTGTGGACCTTGGTATCACAATGGATCCTAAGCTTAATTTTAATCTTCACCTTAATGTGACAGTCAACAAGGCTAAAGGTGTACTTGCATTTGTGAAACGATGGTCAAAAGAATTTAGTGACCCGTATATCACTAAAACCCTGTTTACAACATTAGTTAGGCCGATTCTGGAATACGGCTCGGTGGTTTGGAATCCAAGGTATCAAATTTACTCAGACAAGATAGAATCAATTCAAAAACAATTCCTACTTTTTGCTTTAAGAAATTTCCGATGGGATTCTCAATATAGTCTTCCACCTTATATGAGTCGCTTAAAACTTATTAACCTTCCTACACTTGCCAGTCGCAGGGAAATGCTTGGTATAATTTTTATGGTTAAATTACTGACAGGCTCAATTTCAAGTCCGTCTCTTCTGGCTGATGTAAGCTTTAATGTTCCGTCACGCGTATCAAGACACTTTTGTCCCATATAAAATTATATTATAATTGCATTCAAGGCCATTAAGATATAAATTCGTTAATTTAGTATTTATGCCTCTTACGTTTTGATAATAAATACTTAAAGCAGATTTAGTAATCAGTTTTTTGGTTCTGTATTCTGACGGGGAATATTTGCTAAATTATTATTTTTGTTGGGCCTATACTCAAATTCACGAACGAAAGCTCCGGAGGGCCAAAAAGAACTACTAAGCAGCATGTCAAAATTTTCTAAATTTACTTCTATTTTAAATGAAGAAATATTTCTTTCATATTTAAAATTAAATTTTCTGATACTTAAGTTGACAGTTTTAACTTTGGACGAGATGTAAAACTTTATATCCCTCGAAAATCTAGATACAAATATAGACCTCTTTGGGGGAACCACAACCAGTCTCCTAGTATCAGACTGATTACCGGCGGACGGGGTTGAGTAACTGAGTTACTAGTTGAGGGTAGAGTAAGCGTTGGAAGATTGGATGGCGGTGCCACAACTTCAACGGGGGACGGGGAAGATACTGCAG